TGCTTTCTTTTAATTGGAACCCGCCATCACTGAGTGAATCCAACCAATGTTACATTTTTTTGCGTGCGATTGTCACCAGCTCCTGGATCGAGCAAAAATCAAGCCAGACCAAATTTGGCGAATAACATCGGCAAAAGCGTAGACAGCTGGGCTCAGTGGAACGAAGGAAAAACAAAGACAGCACTTGCAGATGTTGTCTCAAATTACGGGCAGTTTCCTGGGGGGGAAGCAGAGGCCTTGAACCCTGTAATCAGAAGCAGATGGTAAGGTTCCTTAGACATCATGTTTCATCTAACATAAAAGTGACACTTCTGCATCACATACAGACATGTAAGATATGCCCTCAGATGATACTAACATGTATCCTTTGTTTCGCTGTGCCTGTTTTTGTTTGCTTGTCATCAAAGTCATGCAAACGATTTTTAAAAATTATTCTTGGGATATGGTTTTTTTGACTGTAGTTGTGGAAAACATGGTTGGTCTGCCTTTTAGAAATGCACTTGTTTTCCTATTTAGCATTGCTCCGATGGCATTAAAATGATCACAATTAGCCAAATTTTAGCCCATCCACAGATATATATGTACCATTATAACTGGTGGAAATGTCATGCTTCACTAGTAATTTATTTTGAAATTTCACATCCAGTGTGACCCATACATCGGTTACTTGTTGCGGTCAATTCCTACCTGTAACCCATTTTGACATTTTCTTTATATTTTCTCTCCAATTTTATTTTCTTAGCATATTAATAAGGATTACGCAAAATAAAAATGGTTCAACCCCAATCATTGCCCTGCAGTTCCTCCCCACAACCTGTGCCATATCTTAAGTCCCAGGACTTTAACCATGGGACATAAAAATTTACTTACGCAAAGCTGCTAAGCCCCAGAAATGCTCATATTACACCTCAGCCAGAGCTGACAGTTGACTTGAATGTGATAGCCACAAGCACCGGGCTTGACTTCAGCGGTAGAGAATGAGGGGGAGGGGAGACGAGAGGAGGGGAGGGGGGGGTTTATAGATTAAACATCTGCACATGAATTCGCCGGTCGACCATGCCATGCAGTCTTCGGCTGAGTGGAAACAGACACGCCATCACCCATAATTCCGTTGGCATCTGTCTGGGCAGCACAGTGGGGCCCCATGATTGGTCATTAACAGCAACCTAGGGCAATGCTCTTTTGTGACCGATATACCGGTAACCCCTTATTGTCTGAAGAGAGAAACGAGAGACAGCAAAAAAAAGAGACGGGAGAGTTCAATGTTCTTGAGGGGCATTAATGTGCTCCCGTCGTCTATGACGCAGAGTGACTTGTATTATTTAAGGCAGTTGCCGCATAGCTTTTCAATTTCATTCTACACTGACGTTTGGACTGAGTCCGCTCTGTAGGAGATTATCCTGGACAACAGTCTTTGTTTGGAGAAGATCCCAGTCACTCCATAGCAAAACAGCTTCATTGTTTTTTTATATAATCATTCATGACAGGAATGCAAAATTAGAGGATTCTTGATGAATATTTTCAATTGTAAACTTAAACATGAAAAAAAAATTCCGTGGAGTGTGGTTTCTTCTCCAGTACACATACGGGTACATCAGTGATAAACTTCAGCATCACTACAGTATCTCACAAGTTGTCCTTTTTATGTACTAGTGTGTTTGTTACTTTTGGAAGGAGAAATTCTCTAAAAATATTGATAACCTGAGGAGATACATGTATTTCAACGAATAAAAATAAAATCTCCCATCAGTGACTTCCTTTGATGAAAGTTGTAGCTGAGGAAAATGTACCCGCTCAATTTCAAGGGCGCCCCCGTCATTGTGGCAAATGCACGCACACAGAAAGAGCCAAATCCATTACTTGTCTGGCGCATTAACTGTGTCTAGAGTTTTTGAGTACTTTTGCTGTAGGGTGTGGACGTTGCCATTGAAATTAATCAGTCTTATAACAACACTACCCCCTGGCAGGTGGGGATTTACTGACACAAAATCGGCCGACCATGGAAAGAGTGCTGTTTCCATGTCTGCCATTCAGATTAAGACGGCCCCTGGAAGTGAACTAGCTGAGACATTTTCTCACAAAGGAGACATCCAGAATTAGCACAGAACCTTAGGAGTTGTGGAGAATATAGCTTGACAAATGGAAACTGAAATAGGCTTGTGTGACATATTCCCACCTGATTTACCTGCCATTTTTAAGGGTAAAATGGCTGTGAGAGGCAGCATTTTGCGTCTTGACGTTCAGGAACAATAGACAGTTTTAATTTGTTCTCATTAAGAACTTGCCAGAAGATACCGTGATAGAAAAGCAAACTGTGTTACCCGGTACTTCTGCTGAAAGGAACAGTGTTGGAAAGGAATGGTTAGAGAAACTCTTACTTGCAGTCTCACTGCAAGTTGAGCTTTTCCTTTTTTCTCTCAGTCTTTTCTTGGGTATCACAGAATTTTTGTTTTGTATGGAAATTTCTGTCCACCTGATTATCCAGATTTTGATAAATCTGAGATCTCTGGTCACACGTGTGACTGCTACTGCGAATAAATTAACAAAGACCAGTGCTGTGTTTTGAGCAAGGTCAGGTACAAGAAACAGATTTTTCTGTGTGTAATCTGGCACCAGGGGCCCTTTTTATGTACGTAATATTGTGTACGGTCCTTCACCCTCCTAGACAAACTGGAATGATTTATTTCATCAGGCCGGTATTAGTCAAACTTGCCGCTAGTGGCCAACGTGCATTCCAGTCTGTTATTTGGCCCGTTTCCACCTCTTGCAAAACAGGGTAATGCTTCGCTATCAGACGGGGAGAACCGAAGAGCCGTGTGATTGACCGAGTGAGGATATGAGAGGAAATATGTTTGGACTGTACTTAAAGTGCAGTGATGCATGGGTAATTGGGACAGGTGTCTTGTGAATATTTTATTTTAAAGTTTTTGGGCAAGATCTCCGCATACAATTTGTTCTTTCTTGATAGAAGTTTAAGTGTAACTTGCATCAAAACTGGTCTGTACATGTAGTTCCAGAGCTGAAAGTGAAGTGTTTCAACAACTGTACGTTTGTGGTACTCAAGCATTCGGTGTAATTGTCTTCCAAAGTCTTTTGTTCTTGAAGTGAGAAGTTTTCAACCAGAGTGTAAATTTCGTGCAAAACTTCTGCATCAAAACGCTCATTAATATTCCCCTTGTGCGTTTCTTGGCGGAGATTGGGCTAAGAAATTAGATTAACAAGAAATACCCTGGAATTGATTGATGGCAATGCAGTTACTGCCAGCACACAGGAGGATATTGAATCACAAGCTAATATGAGACAAGACAAGTGGGTGATTAGAGGTGCAGTGTTTTCCCTCGTGGGCATGTATCCCCCATTGATTTTTTTTCCCTCCTCCCTTCCCTCCCCGACATACCAACATGACTAATCATGTTGTGAGTAGTGTTCGATTGCTAAGCCCCTGAAACACAACCCCAAGTTGTCGTCCCTCTCGCTGTGTCTCTCCTGTAGCCCCCCCCCCCTTCCGATCCCAAACAGATACAAACTCCTTGTGGGCTTGTAGGGCATTCAGACACTGGGAAACGGCCACTGCTGTCGCCACTGTCTGGCCCACACAGCCTTGTAGCCCTGGCACAGTTGAATGAACTTGGATGGATTTCAATATCCTCCACTCGTAGTTTCGATCCAGCCACGTAGAGGGGTTGCACTTCATGTGCAGTCGCTGACGAGTGACAATGGAGATGAGTGTACAAGTCCTAGTACAAGGCACAGAAGAAGAATGACTGCTTGAAAGGTTATTGAACCACTATTGTCTGGCTCCTCAGGTTCAGCTCCTACGATACTGGGGATTACTCTTGCCAGAACCAGGTTGTTTAAGATGCTTTAAAATGTCACAGCACCTGTCTTTGCGGGTGTAGACAGTGAAACATTCCTCTGGATGGGAAGCCTGTCCTCTTTTTTTTTTAGGCCTACTGAATCACTGCATCTTGTTAAAATAAATTCATTGCAATGCAAAACTCATAGTGACATTGTAAAATAATCTTGAGTATTGCTTTACATATCCATGTCAATTTGACTTGCAGAGAAGAAAAAGAAAGTTAATGTTCACTGACAGTATTTTGTTTCCTAGCCAAGGCATGTCATGTGTGGATCCCCTGAGAAGTTTACGTTTGGTCATAAATTTGGTTGTCTTCTGAGGCCATAAAAAACGTGACTCTTATGCCAGTGATGGTGGTTGTGGTGGGTCAGCACTCCATCCTGGGGGGGGACGATTTGATCTGAGGGTATTCAAATTTACAGTCTTGGGTGTTTATACCTCAGTAGCTGTAGCAACTCTTTTGAAATCTACCAGGGAAAATTGTGGAATGACCAAAGAGTGGATGTGAAATTGCTTCATTTGACATTTATTTCTTCAACTCCTTAACTTCCTCATCCTTTTTTTTCTTGGTTGGTATTCTTCCTTAATCCCTTACAAATCTGCCATTGTGCAGGGAAACCAGTGTAACAGATTTGGGGCTTTAACTTACAAGGGGAGATTGAGTTGACAGAACTGTAAGGATTAAGCGGGGGACTGTTTTTCTCATATCGGCACATGTATCCAATGAGCGCTCTGTTTTTGACAAACCTGATCGCTTTAAGCATTTTTCCTGAAAATAATTTTTGCAGAACTATCAGGGCTTTTACGTGAAATAATTCCAATGAGCATCAGATCACAAACATAAAGTTGACATGAGTCATTTGAAATAATTCACTTTTTGATTTCCAGTTATATGAAAATTTAAGTATTAATAGGAAAAAGGGGGCTGTTTGGTCAATAAGACAATACCTTTTAACTTTGTTATCAGAATCATCATAAGAAGGCCTCATTTGATGAAAACTACATGTGGTTGCAAGAAATGATGCAACAAGCTTGTTATTTCCTCATTTTTTTTCATTCAAAGATATTGTATTTTTAAGTATTCGAATAGAAAAGATTTACATAATTAACAATGTATGGAGTGTTGCACTTTTTGAATGTTTGGCAGAGCATTAAGTCGTGGGAATTCTTTGATTTCAAAGACATGCAGCGTTTTTTTGCTGTAGCAGTCTGTATTTCACCTTGAGCATTTTGGTTTTTTTTTTATTCAAGAAGTCCATGTGGACTTCAAGTTTGACCGACTGTTGTTCATTGCAGTGTTGGTTGTTACATGTTGTGTGACATTATTGTTACAGTAACGAGATCACTGTCCTACATGTATCTGATAAACACACATGTACATGTACATTGTCCTCCATAGAAGAGACAGTAGTCGTTAGCGTGTAATTGATGTGACAACCATCTGCGGTATAGAAAAATGACGTTGTGAGATCAGTTTTTCTTTTTTTTTTAATTGTCGGCCGCTTTGATCTCTTGTCACCAATGTGAATGCCACATTTTGATGTATTTCCCCCTCCCCGCATCTTCCAAAGTGTTTATTTATCACTCTGGTTTCCGTCTCCTGCTATTTACCCTAACAATCAGAATGGGGAACACATTGCCTGCAGTGCTATCAGCAGCTGTGGCAGATGGCTGGCCTACTCAGATGTGGAGCGCGTGCGCATGTTTCACCTCAACCACTCCCCGCTGTCGTTATCAAAGGTAAGAAGTCTAGTGTCTGTCCAACATATCCCTGCCTTCTGGCATCTCTTGCAATGACACTCCCATTGAAATGTTTGAAACCCCCTCCCCCAAAAAAAGACGTTTAAAGGTAGTCGCCTGTTCAGGATTTTCTAAGCAAAAGTATAGTGGCTGCTATCCTTAAATAATGTTTTATTTATGTCACTGCTGTCGTTCCACAGGATCTTTTATTATTATATATAGCCAAATCCGAGGAACCGCCATTCCTGCAGGGCCATCACACTCTTGCACGTGTCTTGACTTCAGCATGTGCGTACTTCGGCAAGTCGCGACATTCATTTGGTCCGAGAAAAATGTAACACGTGCGTACCACCTGCGTGCAAACAGGATGGCCCCACAGTCATGGCTTCTAATTTTTTTTTGGCCGGATTTGTCTATAAGGATTCATTCAAATAATGCCTTTGGGCTGAGCAACATGAAATTTATGCAGCTGGTTTTTTGTTTTATATTTTTTTAAAGGGAAAAACTTGTAAGCACTTTGCCGTTTGATGTCGAGATTACAGTGGTATCCATGTGCATGTCTGCATACACTGTAGACTTAGTATGGGAATAGCTACTGATTTTCAAGATGTATTTTTGCGTTGGGGAGATGTTAATTTATATAACGGGTTTTGCTCTTACCCAACATATATATTAATAAACACTGTGTGCTCAGTGCTTGTCCGAGAGCTTGCGAAAAAAGTCACAAGCTTACTCGGGTGGGACTTATATAATATAAATTAACATCTCCCCACGGCACACCTTTTTAATGTACCGGTATACAGAACAGTTTTCGTTAGAATGTGTACAACTGCATGTTGTCTTTGTGTGTGAATGCTGATCATGTCTGTCATTTCTTTGTCTTGGTCTTTGTTTAGGATTATCCTTGAGCCGAGTCCAAAATGCGACACTACAATCAGTGCCTATACTTATTTTTTAATGTTGAAAATGATTGCATCGATCACAGACAGAGCCAGCCCCCAAACCTTTCTGTGATCACGTTTGTCTTGGTAATGGCTACGTTCTTGTCTTTGCAGGTTCCTGCTTTACCATCCAGCTTACATCCAGCTCATCTAATGGCATTCACCAAAACCTCTGAGAAGCTAGTTCTGGCATCCCATCAAGGCTTAATTCAGGTGATAAGCTCTGCAGACTGTCCTTTTCTCCCACTCCTCCTACATACTGTCTTGGAGTCCCCTCCCCATAAACATAAAGAGGTATGACTTGTTCTATTTTCACGAGATGACTATTTTCAGGCATGCAACTTTTTCTTGGATCAGCCGATTTCCTCGTTTTTCACTTCACACTCATGCTATTGAAAATGAAAAACACACTGTACAAAGTCTTGTCAAGATTGAAATTTCCTAGGTTCTTTTGTCCTAGTCCAAGTTGCATGCCTGTATCTTAGACCACGCACTCTTAAGCCATTTCCTCAATACCGGTGAGTGGGCTTTCACATGTATCCATATAGAACTGCACGAATGCGCATACATTTGTGGTCATGTTTGTACAGGCACACGTTGTTTGTAGTTGTGGGGACGACACGTGTTGAAATTTGAAACAGTATAGCAACAAAATTACAACTCGGTCTCGACATTCCTAACAAAGGAAATTGTCCACTCAACACAGCAACTGCACGGGCACACTTTATGCATGGGCAAATTACTGACCTAGATATTCCACACGAGGAAGTTACAACCAAAAAATATTTTGCATTTTGACCCAAAACACATCTTCTTTTGTCCATTAGTTACTTCAAAGCATGAGGTCAATATTTATTTTGTGTTGATGTAATTCTTAAATTTAATTCAGTTCATTTATTTCCACAGCGTTCATAGTGTCTGGGAGCCTTAAATTGCTCTGAGTTTGCAAAGGAATCCTTGCATGTCTGTCAATTATGTAAAATGCTTTGTAAACATTCTTGCGCTGATTTGAATCATTCTTAGCCAACTGCAGTCATTAACCATGCCCCATGTGGTTCTTGTACATTTGAGCCAGAGGTCATTTGGTAAGAGGTTGTCATTTTATGAAAAATTGTAAAATCCCTCTTTTGTTGCATTTCCGCTGTTGATAATTTCAGGTGCGTTTAGTCAATAATGTTGGCTGTGGAAATACACACAGAAGTTGATTACACATTAACCCTAGGGTGTATGTAAAATCATTTTGAAATCAGAGAAGGGTCAAAAGTCACTCGGCAGTCACCAGTGGTGATTGGTTAGAAAAATGTGCACATTTGTTCCCGTTTTTTTTTTATTCACATTGTTAACTGTAACAGTAGTGAGGCCATGAAGTGGATGGACAGTCTTGGTCAAAGGTCACTTGTTGGAAAATAGTGCAGAATAATTCTTTTTCAACATGTAATTGAAACTGATTCCAGCCACACAATGTCATTTACAGCCCTGGAAAGATTACCAATTTGTTTCTTTGGAATCTAGCCTGAAGGAGAAAAGTCACCTGCTGGTCAGACGAGATCCTTCATTTCCTGTATGAACTTGTCAAAACTGGCTGACATACGTGCTTCATGAAACGCATTCTGCTTTCGTTGGCCTGTATTAAACCTGTGAACATTTTGCAGCTTTGGGAAAAGGTTATTCAACAACTTATACAACATGCCACCTTGAGCGTGGGTCTCATTCTTTTAATACTAGATGATCAAAGTGCTGAAAGGCATCTGAATCATCTGGAAAATGTAGTGATCTCAGGATGATACACACCCTTTGCCTAAGCTCCTGGCTTGCTAAGGATTGCACAAGATTTCCTGACAGTGGAACTTTCGAGTATATCAGTGAAACCAGAAACCACAGTTTAAAAAAATGAAATTTGTACCAAGTATTAATGAAGGTATAGACACGTCCATGTGAACTGTCGTACATTTGACTCGTGAAATATTCCTAAAGGATGACAGATTTTTGCTTTCAAAGCAAATGCTGCGGTTCTGGAAATCATACAGACAGCAAAGTGACCCTGGTTCCGGATTGAATTTGTTCCTTCAGTTACTATCCCTCAGCATGTGTGTAGTCTCCTTAACTATGATACCGGTGTGTGTGTACTTGCCATCAACATTGTTTCCAAGCTTGTAGGTGCCGTTTCACTCACAGTGGGGAATCATTAAAATAGGTTTGCTGGCAGTTGGATCTAAGACCACTGATGCCTTCGCTTACGTTGACTAGTCATTTTGGAGAGACTTCAGATCAGTTTATTAGTATACAAATGTTTGTGTTGACTCTAGCTACAGAATAGTTACCAGTAAATTACCAGAAACTAGTCTTTAATGTGGCCTCCGTGCAGGAACCCTTGTCAACAGGGTAATGAGAGATATGACAGCCACGTGAATGCCTTGGTACACCTAATTTCCACATGAAGATGTGATGGGTTTATTGTGCACATTCCGATGAAAATTATTTGGCAGTTGTGCATCTGGTTGGTTCCCCTTGGGGCATTCTCATAATAGATCACACAGTGTCATCTCCTGTTGGCGCACATAGTCCACGTTTTTTGGAGATGCAGTCCTAATATTTGTAGTTGACCTCAAGAAAATCCCGGATAGAACAAACATAAATCGTTGGTCCCAACTGAATGGTAACATTGCCATGGGAAACTATTTGCCTGAGGTGAGCGTGGACAATGGATATAAAATGTCAGTGTAAGCAAGCAATAGTGACCAGCTTGCATGGAAAAGCAGCCTATAATTAATTTACAGGAAACCATTTTTTTTAACTGAAGATGGGTATGTTTAAGTGATTGAGAGCTTCATTTTGTGGACTGGAATTTATGTCTTTCAATTTATGACACTTGCACCGCAGTGTGTTGTCAACATGCATGATGTCGAGTCTAGACTGTTTCAGAAAGACCCGATTCATTAACTCTCCTATGATTTGGACTGTCAAATCCCTGCAATGATAAATACAATCCAATTCACTCGTCCAAACCGTGCCATTGAATTGTATAACAAAGTTGGAGTTAAAAAGAAATTGTTCACTACAATAAGCCCTCGTCACCTGCCTCTAAAGTTATGTGTGTACAGCTAGATATCTGCAGATTCAGTGCAATTTCAGCACTTTAGTCTTTCTGATTCTTGCAGTCACAATTTTCAACATTTGTCATTGCTGTTTCAACTTTATTTACAATTACAAATGGGTCATTCTATGAATTTGGGTTCCAAATTGTGACATTTTGTGTCCCAGTCACACCTGACCTGTGTAATTTGACATGGAAATATCTCTGAAATTGATTCAAACTATTATTATTTTGTTTGGTAGGTAATTTGCATTAATTCATCACTCTTGGAAATTAGAAATTTAGTTCTGAACTTACAGAATCACGTCTGATGTGACAGGGACACAGAAAAAATTGGACCCCTGATTTATAGAATGACCCCAAATTCACATTTCATTTCCAACAACACAAGCATGATTTCCCCTGCATTGATGCTTTGCTCAATTGGTGTTCACTCGATGCATTGGCACATATCTGTACAAAAACACATGCCTGGTGAATGAGAAAGCCAGTACCCACTTCATACAAACTATGGATAGAGCAAACTTTGGGCTAGGTTTCACAGACTGAGACAGAAGAAAAGTTTTGTCTCTAAGATGGGGGGGGGCCCACCTGGGACAAAGAATAGAACCTGCAGAATGAGAGTCTGAAATCCCAAATCACTTGTCATCCTGGAGTAGAGTTAAGTACAGTTGATAAAGAGCTCAACTTGATACCCCAGAAGTTCCTGAGAAGTTCCTCAGTTTCCTGTATTTCACAAGCTTTGTCATTAAAGACTATTCTGATAAATGAATATTAACAGTTCACTCCTGTGTGTCGTTGAAAAGCAAAGTAGACAGGATGGCAGTGTTCTCATCTTTACAAAAAAGTTTCTTGATCCAATCTTTAGGTGATACAGGTGGACAGCATTCAGCCCACAGTGCAGCACTCATTCCCTCCAATGGAAGACTCCATCAACCAGCTGTCTGTCACCGACAATGGAAAATTCATCGCTGCCGCTGATAACAAAGGCAACATCTTTGTCTATAACTTGGACAGCAGAAAGGTATTGTCTGGCCTCCAACAGAGTGTCACTGGTTTGCACCTCTCATGAACCCATCATGCTTGATATGCTGGCCTTGTAAAGTGACTAAGAGTGTGTTTGTCAAAGAGGAAATAGGCTATTGCCAGATGGTCGACTCTGCGCTGTGTTCATTGTTGCTTCATGGTCCCATTAGTTAGTGCATTACCCTTTCTTTAAGGAGTCTGTGATGTGGATGTGAATCAGCTCCAGATTGGGAAGCGTGGGCTTTCAGCTTGTGCCCTTGAGCAGGATAGTTTGCAACAGTAATTCTGTCGTGCAACCATGGAATCCTTTGGTTACCGTGGCACAGTAGCAGCTTTTAAGAATGGAAGTTGTGCTGTTCGGTGTGCTTCCACAGAAGTGGTGTGAAGCATACTTAACTGTAAACTGGGAATATTGGATGCATTATGTGACAGTTGAAGTAGTTTTCAATAAAGGTATTTCGTAAGTCCTTTTCTGTTCTGGACAAGCTTTTTATTCTAAAACAGGAATCTAATGCGGGGTCATATTTGCACCTGTTATGGTCCATTGTGAATACAACTATAACCCTTTATTCACTCTTGGGTTGCTACCGATCCTACCACCCCCCCAAAAAAATCTGTGAACAGCTCAACCAATCTCCCAAATTTCAGAAATTTGAGGTAGTCACACTGACTGTCCGTCTTTTCCTTGTTGTTTCACCAGCTTCAGTGCCGTCTGCCCGGTTACAAGCACCAGCCGTGTGCCTTAGCCATCAATCCACACACACAGCATCTGACGATTGTCTACACAGATCGCACTGTGGGTTGATGTTTTTTTGTGTTGTCTAGGTGCATTAGTGTCACGTGCAGGAGCTTAAGGTGGCTAACTTAACCTGTGATAAAGGTTTCGCTTTGACATCAGTCTTAGTTTGATGAGTTCAGAACCTGCAAGCATTCATGAGGGCAAACACCCCACTTCCCTGTAGACATTTAATCCGAATTAACTGGAAAATAAGAATGATGTAGGACAGTGTGTTTGACTCAGAGAGATATACGGCTGTGTTTGTGAAGCACCTTTTTAATTTTTTGGTAATTTAACCATCAGAATCCCATCTGTTTCATTTTTATCAACTCTGCCCCACTTTCCACCCCTGCAAAAATATAATGATGATTTTCAAAAAGACAAACCAAAGAAACAGGGATAGATGCATTGCCTGGCCAGTTTGGTGAAACCGTTCCCCAAAATTAAGACTCACGTAATGATGCTCTCTTACGTCCTCCCCCCACCCCTGCCACTTAGATTGCAGAATTTGACTTTATCCGCAAGGGCTTCAGTGCGTGGACCAAGAGGCTTCACAAAGTGGGCCACCACGAAGCCTGGCTGAGCCGACGAGAGACCATCACAGCCGTCACTTTTGACCCCATGGGCCCAGATCGCATGCTGTTGCAGGACTCGCAGGCATTTTATGTCATTGATAAGAAGAAGGTAAAACTGGCCACATTTTAGGGGACTGTAAAAATCTCATCACGGATTCAGCAAGAGAAGTACTGTTTGCAACGTGCATAGCTTCATTCCATGTAGGGGCACCACTTTGGCAACATTATTTCAATAGTATGATTCATTGAAAAGGATGACAAGTTCTTTCTCAAAGGGTCCATGATGTAAATTTCACCTTTAAATGTGGAACATTCTATTTCTCTCAAATTTGAGATAACTGTTCAGTTACTCTTATTAAAATATGGACATGTTTATGCAGTTAACATTCTTCCATGCTTTTCCTAACAAATGAGAGCACTTTCGCAGTGATGTCATTAGACGGCACTTAGTATTGATCTTATCTGTTCAAGTTGTTGACCAAAATTTGCTCATACAAAAAAATTGTGAAAATATTTTGCTTACTGGCTAACTGTACTGAAACAACAATTCACCCTTTATGGCAGCAACACATCCAACAATTGAGAAGACAAACATGAAAATGCCCAGCAAAAGTTGAAAACTTGGTTAAATGAGACACAAAGGAGTACTATTCAACAAGAACTGTGTCAAAAAAGTTCCATTGCACGTCCCTTTGTTGAAAATTTCCATTTTTCTTACCCAAAGTAAATGCAAAGCAAAGCTTTGTGTTTTTGTGGTCTGTTGTCTTCCAGACTTTACTGAAGAAATGGAACTCTGAAATCGTTTAAAGCTCCGTTAGTCAGTGTTATGATAGTGTTCTTACTGTCAATCTCACCACATAAAGTATTTCTGTACTGCTCATGCCCAGTGATGCTTTGTTTCATAAGCATGGTTATTGTTCTGTTCAGCAACACTCCCCGAGGAATGCCAAACAAGTCTGCTAAGCACAGTCCAGCTCACTGCATTTGGAGTCTCTTACCCACTTTGTGCCAGAGGACGTGTCAACACAATCTAACTCTCTGTATACACGGGCCCAAAAAAAGCAGTTAGGGTTGCAAATAGAAATATCGTACAAACGACGCTTGGAAGTGTTTATGGTGTTTAGCTGGATATTGAAAGTTAGCTCCTAAATAGCTTATTAAGTCTCCTCCTCTCACAGCCGTCTGCGTAGAAGTCAAGCTGCATTTTATGTTGCTTGACTGGCAAACATCACACCAAAGTAGCTAAGTTCTAAACACTGTACCAATCTTAGGAAGTCCCACCTGTAGCTAAAAGAAGTGCCTGTTGTGTCTGAGTTGGTAGCGGCAGTATCACAACTGGAGGAAGGGTCATTGATTGATAATTTATGCTTGCATCACTGGAAACATGAATTATGCAAGAGTGTGTTGCTTGCACAAAGATGAGGCATGGTATCCACGGATGGTTAGCTGTACTTTAGTCACAGATGGCAGCTGTTTCCTTGCTTTTTCCTTTAGTTGAGGCACCGTCATGAATTCCACGTCTGTGGACTTCGCTGACATGTCAGTCGTCTGCACTCATTTCATCCATCTGTAGGAAACAGCTTTTTTTCCTTTGGTGATGTAAAGGCTGCCAAATGCACAGATTTGGTCTTTGAAGGTTGATACAAAAATCCTAAGCCTTTTTTTTTTCTTGACAACATGACTCGAAAATATATGTCATTGCAGCAGACTTTTGTTTCAAATCTTGTACAGTATGCAAATTGAAATCGAATGGAAGGATTAAACTAACTTGGCAAAAACAAGATGTCACCCTGTCGTCCTGAAAAAACATTGTTCTTTCCTCCAGTTATTCCACTGCCACCTTCTGAATTACATGTATTAGCATGCGCATAATTTGGTACAACTAAAGTCCAACTGTAGCCACAGGATGCAAAGCCACAACTCGCACAGAGAAGCTCCATTATTGAACTAACATTTGCTTTAGAGCCCCCCTCCCCATATAGCTTCCACAGCATTCTATTAATAGTGACAGAAATAGCCTTGGGCTGCTTTCTGTCAATAGCAATAGTAAAAAAAACTCCCCGGAAGAAATTCTGTCCTCAAGAGGGGGGATATGTGCCGATAAATGGTGGGAATTGTAGGGATCCAGTCGGTAATATCTGTGGAGAGTAGTGTCACTGTACAGACAGAAAAAGAAGAAAATCCATATCTGGATCATGTAATGAGACACGGCAGGCAGTCACAGTAAAATTCTTGGGCTGAGAATAGAGGCCTGATGATAATATATGCATGGAGCACTTAGGTGGAAACCTGTTTTTTTTTATTCTTAGCTTTGTTACCAAACTTTTTTGGTCAGCAAAATTCTAATTAAGGAGCTCTACAAGTCATTGCAAGACACACATTTGAAGAATACAATGTGAAGTGATCTTTTAAGTAAACGGAAAACAGAGGGAGTGCCGAGTTGAATGACTTTTTAAAAAGATTTTATATTGACATGAGGTCATTCACAATAAGGTGAAGTGGCACAGTTTTATGATTTGGGCAGTAGTGCATTTCTGTCTAACATTTGTAAATTGTTAGTGGTCACAAGAAGGCCCTTTTTATGTGCTGCCCTCTTTTGTCTTTAGATGCAGTCCATGCATGTACAATCTTTCCTGCCTGCATTACCAGTCAGAAATATGTATGGTGTAATATAGTTACCAAAACAGTGCAGAAGTACAGCAAAAACATTGGGTATGACTTTCATTTTTATCATAGCCAAGGCTCCGTTGGAATATGTCTCATGAATAAGAGCTGTTTTTACACTCTAATATTACACTGTGTGGTTGCTTGATAGGATGGCATGTTACTATCACAATATCTTGAAATTTTAACATCAGTTGGTGTCTTTATGCTGGTTCCTTCACACGTTAATAAATTACGGGCATCAGCTCTTCTCGTGGACTATTCTTAGCTCATATTACAACACACGTAGATGGCTGTTTTGGGAAACGTGAGCAAGCATTCCCGCTGTGAATTCTTATATTTCTCTGAAAGCTGGCAATTTGAATAAATCCCCTCTCCTGCCGGTTAGAGTCATGTCAAGGGGTGTTGGTAAGCATAACTCGGTGTCCGTACAATTGGTGATGGTTTACACCTCATCACTAGGAGGATTTGAGACAAGACCGCCTTCAGAGATGACATGCTGATCAATTTCTCACCATGAGTGGCCATGTCTGCAGGCCTAGATAAACATTCATGTTGAATGGGCTGATCTTCTAGATGAATGATCGTGTCATGTTGCACATTAATATAGAAGAAGAAAAAAAAAAAACCAGTTTGTGATAGGCAGATGAGACTTGTTTTGCAATTGATGGGTGGGTTATTGGAAGCAGACAAGAAGCTCCACTTTCCCACTCGATGCTTGTGGTCTCCCCCACTTAAAACCGAGACAGTGGAACTTATTGCCTGTGTCCAGTGTCAGTTTTAATCGATATCTGCCTCTCCATAGCAACCTTGTGGTGGCGCACTGTGTTGTAAATCGCCTGTATTGCCAGGTGTGAAATCAGGTTCTGAGTCGCTAGGGTTTTCTCTTCCTGTCTTCAAACTGCAGAAACTGAGTACAGGTATCTTTTTACTTTAATCAGGTGCAGGAAAGTCGCGAGGCATTTTTTTTTGGGGGGGGGAGACAGAGGAGTATTTGATTGCACAAGATGAAAGGAGCACCCATGAGCAACATGTTGAGATAACAAGAAAGAAATGGAAGGGACAGGAGTTTGTGAATGGAAGTGGGGACATATACCCTGGAGCAGCTGTCAGTGATGAATAGAAAGGTGTGTCGTCATGCCCAACTAACGGCCCTAATCCTGGCTGGAATGAATTGCCTCGTCCTGTCGCTTCCCCTCAGACCACCTGGAGGTGGGTAGAGGCTCAGGACTTTCTGTGTGCGCTCAGAAAAGCCTCATTGCAATCTCGTCACAATTTTCTGGCATGTCTGTCTGAATGGCATACTGGAATCTCAACGTTGAGTGGCAAGATTGAAATCCAAAAACAGGGCACCTTGCAACTGAATACAGAACTGCCACTAGGGTTTTTGTAGTTTTTTGAATGATCGTGACCCATTTGTCAGAAAAATGTTACATGGGAATGGGAGTTCGGCTGGGGGCTGTTGAGCTAGGAATGCTCTGTCTATACTTCCAAACTTGTGTCAAGATATCTCTAGTTCACTGGTTACCACTGCCATGCCCTAATATCAGAGCAGTATCAAAGGTCTTAAAGCTCAGTGCTTATGTTGTTTGTTGCTTGAATATCTGACGGGGTTTTTAAATCCAGGGCTGGGTTGGGAGAAGGAGGGATTATGTACCCCCTCTTTTTGGTCATGGGGAACCGCAGTGGGTTATCTTCCTGGATTTTTGTACCTGGACTGATAAACAAGTGTTGGTTATGATGACCATGCAAAAATGGCACGAGGTGTGAAAGGAGTGAAAAGGTTGAATGGCGATGCAACATGTATGTTTTCCTTCACATTGAAAATCAAGTGCAAAATGTTGGCAAGGAATGTAAAACATGTTTTGTGGGTATAAATACATAAATACTCTTTTAATTATCCTCCATTGCCTGTGGTAGTTGGCATTCAGATTTTTGATTTATTTATATTTTTTTTTTTTTTGGTACTCCAGGCTTGCCACACCTATATTCTTCATATCCCTTTAAACAGTATGCGAAGTGAAAAAAAACTTGAAAAGTGTTCACTGAAAGGAACTGGAATACCTTGTACATGTATATGCGGGTACAAAAAACCATTAAACTGAAAAACATACAATGCTGACTTTAAACAAATCGTAAAAATGTTGTAAAATGTGATCGTTTTCAGCGAGACTGAATGTTGGCAATGAACAGTGGAAGCAGTAAAAGGTTGTAAAGTGCATGTGCAAATTGAATTTGAGCCTTTCTGTTAGTTCCCATCTGTCAAATGTCAGGACGAACTTGCAGACATTTGGCCGTTAAGTAAGAACTCTTTGAAATGTGAGTGGGCTGTCAGAAAGGAAAAAAAAAAGAGAAAACCTCAGAACGATATTTGCAGGGAGCCTGAAAGGATTTGAGCTAAGAATGAAATGGATTTTAACGTACAATAAGGGTATGAATGTGCATCATTAATGTGAGTTTTGGTACAGATGTTCATGAAAATATTGTAAACCTGGCTAAGCAGTGTAGTTGCTGCAGCGTTGCTATGGAACCTAAAATGAAGGCACTAAGCATGGGCGCACAACTGAAATGATGTAATGTGTGCTTCTTTAAAAGTAACATTTTGCTTTTTTAAAAGCAGTTTCTTCATGCGAGCGAATAGTTAAATTGTGCTGGTAGATTTTGACAATATTTCAAACGTGGGAGGAAGGATAATTTATACTCATGCACGTGTGTGGAGCCAAGCAGAAATCTGTACAGAGGATCTCTACAGAAATGTGAACATTTATTCAATTTCATGTTAAGGTAACTTTGTTAAATGTTATGTTTTTTTGATATTATGGTTTGTAGAAGAGATAGTTTTTGTTAAATGTTGCTCCCCATGTTATACAAAATTATGCCTAGGCTTACCAAATTACGAAACATGATCAAACTGGCTACATTTGGTATATACAAGCAAGGGATTTACTTGTATATACAGTTCAATTTGAGGGATTTTGAATTGGATCCACGAGAACATCACTTCCTCAGTGAAATCAGCCTGGAGATTTGGAC